TGCTCAGTGCCGCTGCTATCCTGATGATTTCAGGAGCTGCCTCTGCCCAGAAATATATGACCCGTACCGGGAAGGTCACCTTCTTTTCCTCCACTCCTGTTGAAAATATTGAAGCGATCAATAACGATGCGGCCTGCGTGATCGATGGCAGCAAGGGTGATGTCATGTTACAGGTACCCATCAAGAGCTTCAAGTTTGAGAAGCAGCTGATGCAGGAGCACTTTAACGAAAACTATATGGAGAGTAACAAATTCCCCAAAGCAGATTTTCGTGGAAAAATAACCAACCTGAGCAGTGTCACACTGTCTAAAGACGGCACCTACCAGGCCAAAGTAAGTGGCAAGATGACCATCCATGGCGTAACCCGCGATGCAGTGGCCAATGGCACCATCAATGTCAAAGACGGGGTGGCTACGGTTGTTTCAAAATTCTTTGTAAAGGCGGCTGACTATGGCATCAAGATCCCTTCTGTTGTTGCTTCAAAAATTGCAGAGAACATCGAAGTATCGGTAAACTGCCCGCTCAACGCTGTTAAATAATCGTTCACAGCTTTCAACTTTTATCTTTTACGGTTATGATGATCCGCAACCTGTTTATAACAGCAAGCCTGGTGCTTGTATCAACTATCAGCCAGGCGCAAATAGCAGTCCCCCAAAATAGTGCAGACTCCAGCGAGACTGAAAGCGATGACCTGATGAATATGCTGGACGATCCCGAAGCAAAAAACGGGCGGAAGGAATATGTAACGGCTACGTTTAAAGCCACCCGCCTAATCAACGGGCATAGTATTGAAAATCTTGGTGCCGGTGTGCTCGACTTCCGCATATCCCACCGCTTCAATACGCTGAATACAGGCATCAAGGATTTCTTTGGGTTGGATGGTGCTACCACGAAAATCGGCTTTGACTATGGCATTACCAATTGGCTGATGATCGGTATCGGGCGCAGCTCGTTTGAGAAAGAATATGATGGTTATATCAAGGCCAAAATATTAAGGCAGACCACTGATAACAGGATGCCTGTCAGTGTAAGCTATATTGGCTCGGGTATGATAAAGACGATGGAAGTAACAATGCCTGCGGGACAGGAATACCATACCAGCAACCGTGTAGCTTACGCCAACCAGGTGTTGATTGCCCGTAAATTCAGTGATGTGCTCAGCCTGCAATTAATGCCGACACATATCCATTACAACCTGGTAAAGTCGCGCGTTGACCCCAATGACCTGTTTGCTATCGGCATTGGCGGGCGCCTTAAGCTGAACAGGCGCGTATCCCTGAATGCAGAATGGTATTACCGGCCGGGCAATGTACCGCAAGATACCCGTAATGCGTTGTCTATCGGCTTCGACATTGAAACAGGTGGCCACGTTTTCCAGCTGCACTTCACCAACAGCACGGGCATGACGGAGCGCACATTTGTAGGACAAACGACCGGTAACTGGGCAGATGGTGATGTTCGTTTCGGATTCAATATCTCCAGGGTATTTACCATTGTACGCCCTAAAGAATTTAAAAACTCAAGGAACAAAATCTATTAATAATAGTGGTGTGATGGTGGTTTAAAAGAGCTTCGGATTTATCCGGGGCTTTTTTTATTGGGTAAATTGCTCAGTGTTTATCAGCCAGCCATTGTTTAAAATCAGGTGCCCGTTCCGAGCTTACAACCGGCATCTCCTTTACAGCCGGGTTCAGCTGTACAATGACCCTGGCCTTGGTATGGGTCTTCATTTCGCCGATCGCGTTGATATGCACCAGGTATTGGCGGTTGAGCCGGAAGAATGATTTGGGGTCCAGGTATTGTTCCAGGGCATCGAGGTTAAAGTCCATCGGGTACGTGCGCCCGTCGGCGGTACGTGCATAGGTACACTTGTGCTCGCTGTAGCAATAGGCAATATCGGCAGCCATCAATGCTTTGATATGCTCGCCAAAACGAACC